CAATTTACATTTTGACTAACCTGTTAATAGCTTTGTTGATAACTTTTCGTTATTTCCTATTCGCAACACCCTACGAAATGGTATTAACAATTCTCTATTAGCCGGTTAGATGAATAAATAACCGTTAATAAATGCCTTCTAGTGGTTACAAATCATCACATTATGAAATCTCATGCAGGAACGTAGCTCAGCCACAGCTATTTTATGCATATATATATATATATATATATATTTGGAAGTGTCAGTATTTTAATTCCGATAATTTAGATAACTAACAAAATTTCCAACGATTCCAATAGTTGTAAAACAATATCTCAGAACTTAAATTTTAAAATTAACAAACATACTTATTATTTAATGTAAACAAATATTTTACTTTCCCAACTCTTTTGAATTTGAACTTTGTGAATATTAACATTTTGTAACAGTAATTTTCGTTTCTATACAAACACAACCTTGTATCGATAAGTTCATGACTTATTGACTGATAAGTTGTTGTTATTATTAGGACGACAAATAATCAGGATTTGTTGATATTTTTTGTTGTTTTTTAGGCTTGGCGCCGTGTTTTGACTGAAATATTTGGATAATGATCAGGTCTAAAAATTAAATTTAAAAAATACATAATTTCAGAAAATACGTATTTAACTAAGCTATTATAATGAGATGAAGATTACACATAAGATAATTGTGTTATAATTATGTTTACATTATAGTCACACACGCGCACACAGAAATTAATTCATAGATCATTTGTATATAAATACATGATGACGTTTTTCTAAGACAAATTTATTATAAATTTTCTTCAGAGATATAATTTAATATAAGAGTACAAACCATCGTTTTAATAGTACTAAAAAAATCAGTTATATATTTTTTTTTATTTAATTCAGTATTAATTATTAATTCATTAAACGAAAATTCCCCATATTTAAGATACGTAACTCTCATTTTTAACTTTATACTATAATAAGATATTCAAAATTCAATATTCTGTTAATACTCTTAATTTCACAGCTCAAGATTTGTTATTGTAATATTGTATGCTAACGACTTTGTACATTGACTAATATATATGTATATATATTCCTAAAATATGGTATAAATGGTTCATACAGACAAAATAGCTACTTTCGACAAATCTTTCATAATTCAATCCTTATAAAACTGTATCTGTCACTTCAATGCATCTGTCACTCTCGCATATTCAATCACTTCCTATACATTAATCACATTCAATCCTTCCAGTTCTCGATAATTTATAAATAGAAGTTTCTGTAGATATTTGTATAAATTATTTGTTGGGTTTTCATTATTTTATTCATTTGTTTATTTTTTTATTTTTTTTATTTAGGTCTGAAGCTATAAATTCCCTGTATCCTGTCGCTGTATTTTATTCTAATAGGACACGCCTCGGAATAAATATTACATATTATTATTATTATTAATACCCTAAGCGTCAAAGAACATTAAGACAAGTTAGTTGTTATCACGGATGACTGTGGAACGGAACAGTCCCCTCCTAGGCAGGGAGGCGCAGATTAAACGCGAAGAATAGTACACATACCGGACTAAATCGTCGACGAGAACATAAAAAAAGAAAAATAATGGCCTTTTTCCCAAGAATCTGGCATTTTAAACATAATTTCCGTGTCATTTAATCTTAGAGCGGCACTCAACAATGGCAAGTTATGAATTTTAATGCCCTGAGGAGGTAATGGCGTTGAGAAAATCGGCTCCTCATTTCGTAGCCACCTCCAATCCTTCACTTTATTACTTTCTAAAAGTGAATTTCCTCCAAAGTTCGGATGATGGGGGGATGGGGTGAGGAGAAGAGGGGGGCGCTTTACATAAATTAGAATAAGTTCCACGGCTACCGGACTTATAATTTGTGCCTGGCACACAATAGAGAGAAAACAAATAATTTAGCGGAAAGAGAGGAGGAGGAAGATTTGAATACTGTTTAAAATGTATGTGAGGAAAAGGAGGCGGTAACGAGGCGCCTTTGTGTGCTCTACGCCTTCTCGTTATTCGGACTCTCAAAGGCGATCTCTCTTGTCAGCTCTATGCACTGGGGTTATCGTCCCTTTGCATCTTCTCCGGTTGACGTTCATGGCGTACAGTCAGTATTGGACCTCAACATGGTCAACTAGCGTTGACCTCAAAGTCATCACAGAAAGCCTACATTAATAAATTGAGCAGTTGTTGTTGTTTCTGTTTAGGGCTTAGAGGCGTAAAACCCTTAAGAATATCTTTGAGAAAACTTATCGCCGAAGTTACTTCAACTTCATCATTATTTCAAATATCTGATAGTTCTGGTATAGCTCAATGAAATAGTCCAAGAACCAGATTTGGCTTTGTTTAGTTGAAGTGGCTGGGACATGTAGAGCTGATGCCGGCGTATACGATACCAAAAAAATTACTGGATAGTAAGCCTGGAGGAGAAAGAGTTCTAGGACGTCCACGATTAAGATGGTCAGATGGAGTGGAGAGAGATTGAGATGGGAATCAGAGGATGGTGGAGACTCGTCCAAGATAGGGAAGAGTGGAGTAGGATTGTAGTTTTAATATGAGTCGCAATTCGGTTAAAATTGATACGTGTGAGGGACACTTTTGAAAAATATGGCTGACTGTGAGAGTACTGTAGCAGTGCTGTGACCAAACACTAAATAAGACATCAGACCAAAAAAAAGGATAAATAAAAAGATAATAAAATAAGTTTTAGTAAGTATAATTTTCTATCTGATTTTTTACTTGTTGGGCGCCTGGCTTTACCAGCATTTTGGTGTTGGCTGTTTACTTATCAGGTAAGAATGTGTTAGGCTCGTATGTTCTATCCTTAGTCTCGCTAAGGTAACTTCTTCTCTACGAATAGGGCGGTTCGAGGTGGACCATTGTTTTACTGATATTTTTATTTCATTCAATTTGCTTGGAGGGCTCTCGTTACACATGGATTTCCAGCCACGAGCTATTTCCTTGAAGCGTGGATGAGAAACTTAGGTGTGTATTGCATATGGGACTTTATATATATATTATGACCAAAAAAAGAATAAATAAAAAGATAATAAAATAAGTTTTAGTTAGTATAATTTTCTATCGGAATTTTTACTTGTTGGGCGCCAGGCTTTACCAGCCTTTCTTCTCTAAAGAGATAAATCTAGAAAATATAAGGTACTTACCCATTATTTGGCCATCATTAAATATTTATTCTACCATTCTAGCTCAGGTGTGAAGGGGTTAGGTTGGATATTTTTATAAAGCAGAATTATTACTATGTACAAGAAAAAGGGATAAAATATAATGAAAAAGATAGAATTTAAACATAATTACTATATACAATTAAAGATAATTAGGAACATACTTAAGATAATAAAAATAACAAAAAAAGATAATTATTTTATATACAATAGTATGGCATGCCACATATAAACATCAAGAAACGATAGTCAAGATATAAGATATCGGAGCACATACACATGGTAAAATATGAATTAATAATTATTTAAAGGAAACAAAAGCGACAAGAGTTCTATTTTTTTTCCAATGCTTCCTTAATCTTGGTTACAATATATATATATATATATATATATATACATATGAGACTCTCATAGATGACATGAGACATCTAGGCTCACAAGGGGCTATAAATGACATAAACTAAGTTTTTAGTAAAATACAGTTAAAGTTAAACCTGCTCTTTAACCACAGTGATTTTTTTTTACACTGGAGAGTTTTCTTAAGCCATTCAGACGGTTGAAACGGATTTTAACATATTCAAAAATTTTTAAATTACTTTTATAATGATGAGATGTATGTAAACCCTTTAACTAATGTATTAATAATACTAAAAAATAACTATTAGCCCTTCGTATTTCTTCAGTATTGAGATACATTATTATATTATCGGGGTCGCTTTTCATAAAAATACAAATCAATTTGAGATTACACGTTCATACGTGATTTTTTCTCCATGTTGAACCTGATTATAGAAAAACTCTAATATGTTAAAATTAACATTTTCAAAAACTAGGTATAATTGTATAATCCCAAAATAAAACTATGAAATTAGTAATTGTTCAATACATTTATTTCTATCAATTTTATTTTTCATTCAATTATAAATAAAGTAACGCTTGGCAGCTATAACGTTTTTACGAATAATCAATAAATTAACCATTATTAAAAAAATAACCCATTTTTATTTATTTGTTATTAGAATAAAATTTGTCCTTTTGTTATTTGTATCCCTATACCTACAGAACCCAATTAACATTTGTTATGAGGTTAATTAATTGGCCTCTAAAATGGAGAACTGGGTGGACAGAATAGGTTGATCTCTTAACTAATAATAAGTGAGACTGTTAATTAAGAATTATTTTTCATTATTGAGATATATTGCAATCTGTCATCTGCACATCTACGGACAATAGTAATAGTGATAAAAGAGTAGCTCATTCACATTATGTACAATAAATAAACAGCAAAATAATAATACTATAAGTAAATGTATATTAATCAAAATAATTACTTAAATGCACACATGCTTTTATACAATATTTACAAAATTCATTCACTCAAGATCTCCGAGCCATGCCTTTCCCCCACTCGTGGAAGGAAAGGAAGGACTCTGTGAGATCCCAGCGCCTCTCATTCAGCCGCATTACTCGTATTTAGGACCAGTTTAGAAAGTGTTAAAGTGAGTACATTTCTACACGTTCGACCATCACGACCTTAAAGTAAACTATCTGTCTGAATGAAGCGAAGCAAAACTCTCAAGAAGAGAAGCTACTACTTAATTATTGGAGTACGTATTTTAAGTTGAGGACATATACCGCCTGTTCTTAAATAATAAATGACAAAACATTTCCTTAAAATCAAAATTTTCATAGAAATCTACTATGCTTGCAGAGGAGCTGTTTATCATAGGTCAGATGGGTCTATTGGAAACGGCCCACGCCTCCCGATCTATTTTACCATCCACATCAGAAACCTTATCTTCAAAGAAAACGCAGATCCCCCGAAATTATCGCACCTCTACCAGACTTTACGAGAGGAAGAATTTCCAGAAGTAGCCTCGATTTAAGAGAGCTCTCAAGAGCTGCGAGATAAGAGATCTGGTTCTCACGGGGCGGCTCACATCCTCTCTTATCGCCGAGGTACTCCGGTTGTTCTTGTAATTGATGGCACCGCGGTACCTGACCTGACTCCGCGATGGGCCGCTTCGTCGGTGTGAAACTTCGGGGTAATGGAGCTCGCTTCGACGCAGAACCTGAATACAGAGCTTGTGTTTAAAAAAATTTATGATTTTTCCAAGTAGCTAAAAAGAAGTAATAAGGGATCTGACACGTGACCGATCGTAGTGAGGGAGGGATCACGTATTTTTGCGAAACTAAATAAGTGCGTATAGTAATAATAATAAGGATATTAATAATTGGGAATATTGTCAGGAAGGCACAAATACCAAAGAATTTTAGAATTTTAATGTCATCTTTTTCTGACCTAATAGGTCTCCAACTATTACATTTAACAGATACCATTGCATATTAGAAACAAAAAAATAATAATAATCTTTTATTTGTAAATACAATATGAAAAAATATACATAAACAAAATATACTATTTTAAGTTGGATTGCTTCTTCCTTCTCTTGCAACCACACTAAGTAGTGCACATGTCCCATCCGTTTCCTGTCTTTTCTCTCCAATCCTACTGTCTTCCTCCGCAGGATTTCTTCATCTCCTTGTCCCAGTCTGCCCGTGGGCGTCTCCTCTCTTTCTCGTGTGCTCTATTGGGTACCAATCCACAAACTGCTTTGTCCACTTCATAACATTCCTCCTGATGATATGTCCGATCCAGGTCCACCTCCATATGAGTTTTCCTCAATATCCGAGAGGCCAACCATTACTTTAATCCACTTATCTGATTTTAGAACTCGTCTTGATTTTTCGTAGCGTAGAAAATTGGAAACTAAAAAGAATGAGTCTAGATCAATTTAGAAGGTTATGCTAAGTCGAAGAGCATGAATTATACGCAGTAATTATAATTAAAGTTGCGGAATAAAAGTGATCAGGATAATCATTATTAATCTAAGTGGTGGGCCGAAACGTAGATAGAATCGCTCTCTCTCTCTGTCTCTCTCTCTCCCTCTCTCCCTCTCTCCCTCCCCTAGTCTCCAATATATATATATATATATATATATATATTATATATATATATATATATATATGTGTGTGTGTGTGTGTGTGTGTGTGTGGTTTAAAATTCCAATCAGAAGTTTTTAGAATTGAAGAATACATCTTCTCGATATTCTTTTTTAGTTGAACTGTTGTGAATTGGTTTGTGTAGTTTGCCAGGTACAGCAGAGGGCTCAGGTGGTCAGAAGTGTTAATACGCCTTGTGAAGTCAAGCTTTTAATTCGAAGAGCAAAGAGCTTGTTTAATGCTTGTCTGGGGATGTTTGTTTGCTATGTTTGCCCTCTCTTGTCGCTTTTCATCTCTTGTCAATTCTGTTTGTGTAACTTTAATCAAATCGGATGTACAATTATTCAATTGATTCCAGTCTCTGTTTGAGGAAAGAAAGGGGTAATGTTCCATCAAATTGTTATAATAGTCAAATTTACTATTTTTTATATGAATTTGAAAAAACAAAATTGCGTGTCATTAGAAGCCCTGACTCTCGCATGTTGTAAATAAATAACCAATGAGTCAAATTTTCGGCTACCTAGGCTTTAGGACTGTTTTCAGTCGGAAAATCTCACTTCAAAAACCTAAAAAAAACTTACCAAATATGAAGGATGGGAGGCTTTCGGGCTGAAGTTCCTATAAAAATAGTAAAGTATGACCATGGCTTATGAAAAAAACATTTAAAAATTATTTCTAAAACATTTCGTATACTTCTAAACTATTTCATATAGTTAGTCAGTTTCTTTCTTTTTCTTCTAAAATAATTATCGTTATACATTAAAAAAAAAAAAAAATCTTTCGGTCCAATCTCTTAGGGATGAACCAACATCTTTTCAGAAATAGCCTTGAAGAATCACTCCAAAAGAATTCCAATGCTATTAAAAACTTAATATTATGCCTAAACTTAATATTATCTTGTAACTGTTAATATACATATTAATTTTTTTAAGTTTGTTGGTTTCTCTTCAAATTGTAAATATACCTGTTAATTTTTCTTCTTTTTTTTTTTTATTAACGAAATTTACAACTGTAATTAATAATAAATACAACAAGTAAATATGCACAAGTAATATGACATGTACAACATGAGGAGAAACTACCCATTGGTAGCACTCCAATTTATTCGTTTAATCTTAATTTTTAATTATAATGGTTTTTCTTCTTGTAATTTTTAATATTTAAATTGTACGTTTTAGCTATTCTTCTTTTAATATTAATTTTATTTTTTATATCGTATTTTTAGATTATATCCTTAAAATCATTAAATTTTTATTTAAATCTCTTTGTTAACTTGTCTTTTTTTTATTCTTTAATATTCAAACTGTACTCTTTAACTTCTTCTCTATTAATATTAATTTTTATTTTTAAGAACGTATTTTTATCTTTTGATCTTAAAATCATTAACTTTTATTTTAATTGTCTTTGTTAACTTAATTGTCCTTTTAATCTTTAACTTTTAATTTTTATAACTAATTCAATTTTACTATCATATTCATCTGTAACTATTTTTAACTTTCTAAACTTTAAATTGTATTCGTTAACTGTAGTTTTGTTATGTGTGCCTATGTAGTTGTCGATCCAATTGTAATATATGACAAACATGACCCAGGTGGTTGAAGAGCCCAAAACAATTATAAATAAATTAATAAGTCCTGTATTCCATTGTACCAGACTCCAAAACAGTTTAACAGATATGGAAAGAAAGAGATTTAATCGGTGATGAAGAAAACAAAAATTATACATATTATACATATGTTTGTATTGAATCCTTTCTTCAATGGATGGAGATGAGTATGACTCGAGCTTCTCTTGTACGGTAATACGGTGTTACGGACAGAACGAATTCTTCCTGAAGGTCATCCACCTCTTATTCTGACTTTTCACTATTGCAGAGGGTCATTAAGGAGCATCGAAGGCCAATTGTAGCATTTGTATTTTGTAGTACGTTTTCTACGGAATACATTACTTAAAACTTCGAAATTCGTTAGTGCAAGTTAGGATGTCATCGCATCAAATGTCTTCATCATCAAATATTGCATCATTAATTTTTTCCTTGCTTATTGGTGGTGGAAGTGTGATTTGCTGTTAATGCTGCCTTATATATCAGCGCTATTTCAGAGATTGTTTAATAACCTTCCACAACGATATCCCTATACTTTATTCATTGTACTCGGTGCTAATTGAAATTATTTTGATTTGGCTCTGCTATGTTGTTTTGCCGGACGAACTTTCAGGCAGCATATTAAAAACCTGCATTGATGAGCATTCTTATAATTATAGTTAAATCTTACTTCAGCTAACGATAATATTAAAACATACCCTCATCTAGGATGGCATGCATACTCGTTATTCTAACTCCAGTTAAACGTTCCATTAAAAAAGAATACTTTTATGGAACTCAGTGAAAATGGACTCCTTTTATTTAGTTTTTTTGAAGGATGCTTATATTTAAAAATTACGTTTATTATAAATTTAAACAGGCTCCTTATCTTCTTTAGGGTAAATATACCAATAATAGATAGTTTTCAACTCATTAACATGTAACATGATATTTGTACTCCCAAAAGTGAGAGCGAATACGATCAGATTTGAAGCTAGAACACTTAAGAGGGTGACGCCTGAACCTCATGTGATGTCATGCCACAACAGCCGATTGGTTTATTTTTCAATGGGGCAAGTCTGTTTATTATCAGAAAGCTTTCTTTATTACTTTTCTGCAGGAGATAAGTTTGAATTTTTTATTTATTCATCTGCAGTTTGCCATTTACTCGTTTAAAACTGTGGATAATTTATGTTTTTTTTTTAATTATATATAAATTTGTCGACCCCGAAACCTGAGTGTCTATACGCTGTCAGAATTTCCTTAGTTTTTCATGAATAATAAACTAATTCATTGTCAATTAAACACTGCCATAGGTAACTTTAGAGCAGCGGGTAAAATTTAGTTTGTGTTGATTCCTTGGTGGATACACTGTGTTGGTTCAATCAGCAAAAACGTGCTCTGTGTAGGTATGCGCTACTACTACATTGCGGCGGTTTGAGAACCGTAGTTCACTACACTCGTTGCGCAGTTAGGTTTTTTTTTATTTCCATTGCTTTTTTTCATAATTCTTGTTTTCATTAAACGTTCGCTTGTGTCTCAAAAGCAGTGTGCAGCAAGTTAGTAGTGCAGTACATCCGCCGTCCATGCTGACTGAACCAAAACATTGTACCCACCACGGAATCCCACAAACTAAAATTTACTCGCTGTCCCAAAGATACTCAACCAGTCCCAAAGTTACTCCATCTTACCGTATTGTCTCCATTGATCCACTGTCAGAACTTAAGTTGTGATTCACATTAATGTTGAAAAATTCTCTTAAAGATTCTATTACCGGTACATTTACCTTACTTACTCGATGCTCAACCGATACTTTAACGCGTTTTCCCGCTTAAGAGAAGTGGTAACATCAAATTGGCTCTGTAACCAAATTGGCTGAAGTAATCCTATTTCGTCGAGTTTCATAAAAACTCCTTTTTTTACGGACTGTGCATACCACACATAGAAGTTAACTTCGCCAGTTGTTTCGCGACAAAAAAGTTAATTGTTAAAGTGTTAATGGCCATTTCCTCTGCTCCCAACCGGAACGGAAGCTAATTCCTGAGAGAGCATCCCTATCTGTATCTGTACTGGCCATAAACTGCCTCTTCTGAGTCGTTTGGATCCGAGACCGGCCCTAAGAGAAGTTGGCGTTTATTTTTCACTTCCTCCCCCCTAATTAGCACCTACCGACTCGCCCTAAACTAACCCTAATGGCCCCTATCTATATAAGCGATCTCCGCTTCCATTCCTATATCTTGTTACTACTCTTATCTTCTCCGAGGGTTGCCAACTTTTTGATAAGCTACACCGCTACTAACTTCCCTTATCTCCCGATCAAGTCGAGCGAGGCTTCTTAATGAGCAAAGGTTTAAGAGCAGTTTCCACGCCTTCGAAAGTTGTGGCTCCGAGAACTATCTCTTGAATTTGTCGACATATTCCATTAATTAGTGTGTATGCTTTACGGTATAAATAATTTGCTGATTTACTAAGTTAGTATCATTTTATAATGCTCTATTTAGGTAAAGTCTTTGTACAACTTGACATTCTTCTACCACTTCTTGCTGGTCACTTTCCTTAGTTGGCAGATTTTTGGTCCACTCAGTAAATTGAAACGTGTAAAGCCATGTCAAGATAGGTTCATATATGATTATAATGAACTTATAACAGGAAGTACGATACTACTATACAAATGTCATTCTACTTTCATGGGAGTCACAAGGTCTTATGTTCACGCCATAAATGAAATCCGACCGAGGATGTCCGAAAGTAAACTAACCTTCTGAAAAGGATCAGTTGAGAGTTTGCGGAAGTTATAAATTGCGATCTAAATAAAGGGAGGTTATACCATAAACACATGAATCTTGGTATATACTGGGAATCCCATCTATACTCTGATTTTAATATCATGTCCCATTCGTCTAAGTGAAATCTTGGACACTTATATAGTAATTACCGAATACATCCGAAAAGCTATTATTTCAACATAATTGATAGTTTTTAGTTTGGTTATAGTTGGGAAATTCTAACGAGGTAAAGAATAAAGTAGAAAATTTGCTCAACGTTCCACCTATTCAGTTATTATCTGGACTAGTGTTCCCAAAATC